GTGCAGATCCTGCCAGGAGTCTCGCCCCGATCCCCCGGTAGCGCCCATCCGAGAGTGGGAGAAACCAAAAGGGCCATGGGGGAGGATCCATATTGATTTTGCTGGCCCCTTCCACGGGCAAACGTTTTTAATTGTAGTAGATGCCTTCTCGAAATGGCTCGAAATCATTTTAATGCCCTCTACCACAGCCGAGGCTGTTATTAAGGCCCTTCGCAAGCTGTTCGCCACACATGGCCTACCGGATACCCTAGTATCTGACAACGGCCCTCAGTTCACAGCAACCCTGTTCGAGGGATACTTGGCCGGACTGGGCATCCGCCATGCCCTATTGGCCCCGTTCCACCCGGCTTCTAACGGATTGGCCGAACTTTTTGTAAGAACGGCCAAAGAGGCCCTATCCAGACTAGATAACGGGGACTGGCAGGCCAGGATAGATCAATTCTTAGCTGTCCAGCATGCCACACCATGCACAGCCACAGGGAGAAGCCCAGCAGAGCTCCTCATGGGCAGGAAGCTCCGATGCGTGTTAGATAGGCTTCATCCCAACTATTCGCACGAAAACTTCAAGGGGGAGACCTCCGGACTAAGACAGTTTCAGGTTGGGTCCCCGGTGTTCGCTCGCAACTATGCCAGCGGACCTCTATGGGTTGCAGGAACCATAGTGGGCATAACGGGCCCGAAATCCTATACGGTAGACGTGGGGGTAGACAGACTCTGGAAGCGCCACATAGACCAGCTGAGAAAAAGGGTAGTCGGCGAAGCAAACATAAATTTAGACATATCCGAGCCTAACTATAACAACTTTCCCAAAACAGCTAACTCAAGCCCGGGTTCGCGAGAATACTTAGCTGACAAGCCCTGGTTCCAGCGCCGCCCCAGCGAGTCGCCACTCCCAACCGGGGATAACCACGCCCCGGACAAAATCCAGGAGGTTCCATTGGCGGAGCCGGGAGAGACAGAAAGTCCCTCCGACCAGCTCGACGCCCCACCAAACACTGAACTGCGCAGGTCAACTAGGACGAGAACTCGCCCTGGGCACCTGCGAGATTTTGTGTGTACTTACGTAAATTTTTGAATGTCAGTGCCTTCTGGGAAGGGAGGGGTGTTATGTATTGATACTTTTGAGCGGGAGTTTCAAACCTGCCTACGTTTCTGATTGGCTGACAGTCTCTCCAGGATTGTATATAAGGAGGACTGCAGCCTCTGAGTTTTTGCTGAAGTCTCACTGTAAATTAAAGAGCTGTTGTCACTTGCTTGGTTGTGCCTCTCGTTATTCCCGAACCACTTCAGCTCCAACACTGGAGGTTTTTAAGAAGAGAAAAAAAAAAAAAAAAGAAGAGATTGCACAGGCATTGGACTAGAAGACCTCCAAGGATCCCTTCCAACTCTGTTACAGGTAGTTCCTCGACTTGTGACCACAATTGACCCCAATATTTCTGTTAAGTGAGACATTGGTTAAGTGAGTTTTGCCCCATTTTACGAACTTTCTTGCCACAGTTGTTAAGTGAATCACTGCGGTTGATTTTAATTTTATTTATTTTATTTAATTTGTATATCACCCTTCTCCAACAGGACTCAGGGCGGTGAACAGCCAAGATAAAACATAACATTGATTGATAAGGTTGATAAGTTAGTAACCCAGCTGTTCAGTGAATCTGGTTTCCCCATCCACTTTGCTTGTCAGAAGGTCGCAAAAAGGGATCCCATGACCTTGGGACACGGCAACGGTCATAAATATGAACCAGTTGCCAAGAGTCTGAATTTTGATCATGTAACCATGGGGATGCGGCGAAGGTCAGAAGTGTGAAAAATAGTTGTCAGTTGCATTTTTCCGTGCCGTTGTAACTTTGAATGGTCACTAAATAAACTATTGTAAGTGGAGGACTAGCTGTATTCTTTTATTGAAATGAAGAGATACAAGAAAAGGGGATACAAGAAAAGCCAGGGTGGATCGTAATGTTAAATCTTAAATTTAATTGAAATTGAAATTGAAATTGAAATCTTAAATTTAATTGACCACTTTTTTCTCCTTTTTTGTACACTGTTTGTTATTGTAGGACAAATAGTCCTCTACCCATGACCACAATTGAGCCCAAAATTTATGTTGCTAAGTGAGACATTTGTTAAGTGAGTTTTGCCCCATTTTACAATGTTTCTTCACAGTTGTTAAGTGAATCACTGCAGTTGTTAAATTAGTTAATTAGGTTGTTAAGTGAATCTGGCTTCCCCATTGACTTTGCTCATCAGAAGGTCACAAAACAGGATCACATGATGCCAGGCTATTGCAACCGTCATAAATGTGAGACAGTTATCAAGCATCCAAATTTTAAATCGCATGACCACGGGGATGCTGCAATGGTCATAAGTGTGAAAAACAGTCATAAGTCTTTTTTCCGGTGCCATTGGAACTTCTAACAGTCGCTTTTTTTGGTGGTGTAACTTCTAACGGTCACTCCATGAACGGTTGTAAGTCGAAGACTACCTGTAAGTTGTTAGGGTTGGATCAGTGGTGAAATCCATTTTTTTTTACTACCGGTTCTGTGGGCATGGCTTGGTGGGCATGGTGTGGTGTGGCTTGGTGGGTGTGGCAGGGGAAGGATACTGCAAAATCCTCATTTTCCTTTTTTCCCTTAGCAGGCCCTTAATTTTATTAGTACAAATCTTATATTGATAAGTATTCTATTTTTATCCCTCATCTCTTGCTCGTTTTAGTATTTAAATTCTTATTGATTTTTTTTGGCATGCTTTCCATACTCCTCCCTTGGTATTTTATATCTCATGCATCATTCATATTTAATGTAAATATTTCCTCTATCTCTTGCTGCCAAACCTTCACTACATCTATCAGTGTCTCTACCCCCACTTCTGGAATGTCTTCAGTTTATCCAATTCTATTTTTTGGTCTCTTAATGTGTAATCTGCTTTGTCTATTTCATCCATTTTAATTATCTCTGCCTACTCCTTGTCTTTTTGATTCATTTGTTGTTTTATCAGCAACAACTCTGTTTTTTTTCTATTTTCTCTTCTGTTTCCAGGGTTATCTGTTCATTTTCCATTGTTATTTACTGAGCTTTTTCTGGTCTCATAACTATATCATGTATTGATTGCTTTATCTCCCTGTGGTTCTTTGTTATGGTTTCATGAATACTTTGAAACATTTCTTCTTGAAAGTCTCCAGCAATGAAGCTCCCACAACTTCTGAAGGCAAAGCTGTTCCAGTGGTTGATTGTTCTCACTGACAGAAAATTTCTCCTCATTTCCAGGTTGAATCTCTCCGTGTTCAGTTTCCATCCATTATTCCTTGTCTCGTGTTCAGATGCTTTGGAAAATAGCTTGACCCCTTCCTCTCTGTGGCAGCCCCTCAAATATTGGAAGACTGCTATCATGTCTCCCCTGGTCCTTCTCTTCACTAGACTAGCCATGCCCAGTTCCTGCAACCGTTCTTCATGTTTTATCTTCCAGTCCCCTAATCATCTTGGTTGCTCTTCTCTGCACTAGGGAACTAGAACGAAATACATCCATTGGTTAGATTAAAAAAAATATGGAAATGAAATATGATCTTTTTAATTCAAGTAATGTAGAATTATATAAAAATATAATATAAAGATGTACTATTATTGGAGTGATTTAAGTGGATGATATGAATGGTATAATATAAATTAATTCAATTTCAGAATATCTGGTGTGAAACGAGAGAAGAAACAGACATAGTTAAATATATGATTAATCAGGATAATAAATGTATGGAGAATATATATATATATATATATATATATATATATAATATACATAATATATAAATATTATTTATATATTATTTATATTATTTATATTATTTATATATTATTTATATTAAATATATAAATATATAAATATTTATATATTATATATATTAAATATATAAATATATAAAGTATAATATATATAAATATATATAAATAAATATAAATAATCGAACCAATTATATATATATATATATATATATATATATATATATAATTGGTTCGATTTATATGCCACCCTTCTCTGGAGACTCAGGGCGGCTTACAATGCGTTAAGCAATAGCCTTCATACTTTTGTATATACCTGCTTAGTAGGGCTTTCGCCCCCCCCCCCCCAAGCGGTGTTCTTTTTTATACAAAGTCAGTTTATTGCCCCCACAATCCGGGTAGGTATCTCGGAAGGATGGAAGGCTGAATCAACCTTGAGCCTGGTGAGATTTGAACTCGCAGTAATTGCAGGCAGCTGGCAGCTAAATGCTACTTAACAGCACTTTTTTTTAATTTTTTTTTTTTTAATTTTGATTTATATGCTGCCCTTCTCCGAAGACTCAGGACGGCTTACAATGTGCTCAGCAATAGCCTTCATACTTTTGTATATTTATACAAAGTCAGCTTATTGTCCCCCAACTGGGTCCTCAATTTACCTACCTTAGAAACTTTAATCCGCTATGCCCCAAGGCTCCTTATTCCTTTTTTTTTTTTTTAATTTGATTTATATGCCGCCCTTCTCGGGAGACTCAGGGCGTTAACAATGCGTTAAGCAATATGAATACGATGAAGACACACAAAAGTTTGTAACCAACGGACACAGTGTTTGTATTTGTAATTGAAGTTGGTTTTTATTTGTTTTTTTTTTACGTTTAGTTAAAAAATAATAATAATAATAATAATAAAAAAAAGAAACATACATCCAACCCAGGGGTGAAATCTAGCAGGTTCTGGAGAACCAGTAACGGAAATTTTGAGTAGTTCGGAGAACAGGCAAAAACCACCTCTGGTGTTGACCCCAGAGCGGGGTGGGAATGGAGATTTTGCAGTATCCTTCCCAGTGGTGGGTTTCAATTTTTTTTTTTACTACCGATTCTATGGGTGTGGCTTGGTAGGCATGGCATGGCTTGATGGGCATAGCAGAGGAAGGATATTATAAAATCTCCATGCCCTCCCCCAATCCAGGGGGAGGTTACTGCAAAAATCCTCATTTCCTCCCAAATCAGCTGGGAACTTGGGAGGCAGAGAATAGATGGGGGCGGGCCCGGCCAGTCAGAGGTGGGTATTTACCGATTCTCTGAACTACCCCAACATTTCCTCTACTGGATCTCCAGAACTGGTCAGAATCTGCTGACACCCACCCAGTCTGATCCTTCCCGCAGGAGTGGGGAAGAGAGCTAGCAGAAGAATCTGCTGCTTCTCGTCACTTCCGCCCAATACACACACACACACACACACACGCATACAGGCGATGAAGGCTGGCTGCGGCTTCGAGCCGGGATCGCCTCTCCGGGACGGTTCGGGCTCTCGCCGGAGGACCCCCTTCGTTTGGGGGCTCCTGTGCCTGGGGCTGTGGTGCTGGCAAGTCTCCGGGATGGTCACTCCGGATCAGGTAACGCCAGCGTGGCGTCGCTCGACCGGGGGGGGGGGGGGGGGGGGGGGGGGGGGGGGGGGGGGAAAAGGTGCCCGCTTTGGCCGCTGGGGTCGTCTGAATGGAGAAGCTAAGCGAAGCCCCCCGAGATGCCTCCTGCGTTGCGGGACGGGTGGGATGGGGAGCCTGGCAGGGCAGAGAAAGGTTGCTCCTCCAACGGGAGCCGAGAATCCTTGGCTAACCTGCAAAAAAAAAACAAAAACCCGGACTCCCACGACTCGATGACTTAACAATAGCAAGAGTTGTTGTGGTTGTTTAGCCGGCTTGCTTAGCTGCTCCGGATTGTTGACACGCGCGTGGGGTGGACCGCTTCATATCCCAGCTGGCGAAGAAGCAACTTAGAACCCTCGAGGGTTGGAAAGGGACCCTTGGAGGTCTTCTAGTCCACCCCCCACCCCCCACCCCACCCTCTCAAGCAGGAGACCTTATCCCATTGCAGATAAATGGATGTCCGGTCTCTCTTCTTAAAAGCCTCCTGGGATGGAAGCACCCCACAACTTCCAGCCTAGGGTCGCCCAACTTAGTTGGCTTTATGCCAAAGGCAGGACTAGAACTCGGAGCCTCCCAGTTTCTGGTGTCATCCTTCCAATCAGGTCTAGTGTGGTTATTATTATTATTATTATTGTAAGCCGCCCAGAGTCCTTTGGGAGTTGGGGGGCATAGAAATATGATATGATATGATATGATATGATATGAGATGATATGATATGATATGATATAATAATAATAATAATAATAATAATAATAATAATAATAATAATAATAATAATAATAATAATAATAATAATTTTATTTCTATACCGCCCTTCTCCCGAAGGACTCAGGGCGGTGTACAGCCAGTTTAAAAAACACAAGACACAACAATAATTAAAAATTAAAATAATTAAATAGATTTAATGAAATAGATTTAATGAAATAATGAAATGAAATGAAATGATGAATGAAATGAAATGAAATTATTTACAAAAAAACGCCCCCCAAGGAGTCTGCTGGCATCTTTCCCAACCAGCACATTTTATTAACAGATAAGGTTTCAGCTCACTTTGTCAGAATGGCTAGATTGATATAGAGCAGAGGTCTTCAAACTTGGCAGCTTGAAGACTTTTGTGGACTTCAACTCCCCGAATTCTCCAACTGGCATAGTTTACTGGGAGTGAGCTATGCTGGGAGTTGAAGTAATTCTGGGAGTTGAAGTCCACAAGTCTTCAAGCTGCCAAGTTTGAAGACCTCTGATATAGAGGATTGAAATTGAGGTGAGATGGACCGGAAAGTAGTTTCTCTTTGTTGTCTTGACGGCTTCATCCTTGGTGACCATATTGATGTTTTGATGATGATTACATTTTTATCTTGCCTTTTAAAATATATTTATAACTCAAGGCAGGAAACGTACCAGTATTTAACTCTCCCAATCTTCTATTTTCCACACAACAGCAACCTTGTGAGGTTGAAAGAGACTGAGCGATTGGACTAGAGGCGTTATATTCAGTATTTCTACACCAAAATCTCCTAATGAGAAAAGATGGGGGGAGTCCCCACCCCATTAATACCAGAATACTAACAGCAGAATCGTTTTGTGTTAGTCTTTTGCTCGGGTGCATTCAAAGGGAGCCTGACAATCAGCTGATAATAGAGCTCCTTTGAGTATGGGTGTAGTAATATTCAGGGGCAATTTTAAATTATTTGATGTTTTTTCTGCCTTTTTAAACATATGACTCAAGGTAGGGAGCATCCCCACCGTTCCTGCCTCTTGCTTTCTCCACAACAACCCTGTGAAGTGGGTTGGACTGAGAGAGAAAGAGGGATGGACTTGAAGTTCCCCAGCTGACTTTCCTGCCAAAAAGAGGCCTGGGATTCACAGTCCTCTGATTTCTAAAGCCAGCGCCTTCACCACTCTACCAGACTGGGTCTCCAAAACCAACAATATTGTTTTTATTGTTTTAAGTGGTGCTGGCTGCCCAGAGTCCCATTTCAAAACGGTTAGTGATATAAATCTGTTAAATAAAGGGAACTGAAATTAGTTATATTTGAGATAAATTGCACTTAAGGAAAATGTGCTACCAGATTCCTTTTGAGATATGTATGTATGTATGTATGTATGTATAAAGTGTTTTTCTGTCGAGGCACCTGGTCTACCCCAGCATGTGGGAGGGAGCATACTGCATCCCTTTCGCCTTTCAGCTCCAATCCAGGAGCCCTCAAGCACTCGTGTTCACGACAAACCATTTTATACCAAATTTATATTTCGCTGATAAAGAAATAAAGTTCGAATCCAAGTAAGGGTGTGGCTAACTGATGAGAGCTAACTAGCTTGAAATAGATCTATACTAGTCTCCCTTTATTTCTTTATCAGCGAAATATAAATTTGATATATATATCTTTACTAATATACCTGGAACTCGTATTTTTAGAATAATTTGTAATTATATATATATATATAATTACATAATAATGCAAAAAATTAAAATCTCGGGTGTTTTCCCGCGTCATTGTAAATAAGTTGGTTAAAATATTTAAAATCCTGGTTAAAATCCCAGCTTAAAATCTTCTAAAAATCTTTACAGAGCACTCTGCAAGGTCCTTTAAAACCTCAGCTAAAATCCTACCAGTGACTTTACATAATAATGATATATATATATTGCTAACGTAGGCTTAAGACAACTCTCTCCCCTGGGGCTACTGTAAATGATAGGATTAGTAAAGAGAATGACTTCAAATGTTATTGAGGGAGATTTTGTTTGCTTGTGCTTGTCTATTGAGCTATCCTACTCTGATTGGGCATAATTAGGGTTTACATATCAGAGGACAGTTTTAGGAAGTTCTTAAACTGGCAGCTTCTGAGCCCTGTGTGGGAGCGAGCGTAGTGCTCTGAATTGTTAGGGTTAAGGTTTGTAAAGCAACGTTTCATCGGCAAATCAATTCAGTAAATAAATAAATTATGAGCACTACAGTTCCAACCCATCTAGATGACACCAGGCTCAGCATGGCTATTCTAGGAAATTGAACTATTTATTAACTATCTCAGACTGCACAATTCCGTGATAATCACTCAGGCGGTTCTCAACTTAAAACCATTTTTATTTTTTTTTAATTTGATTTATATGCCGCCCTTCTCCGGAGACTCAGGGCGGCTTACAATGTGCTCAGCAATAGCCTTCATCCTTTTTGTATATTTATACAAAGTCAGCTTATTGCCCTCACAACTGGGTCCTCAATTTACCTACCTTAGAAAGGATGGAAGGCTGAGTCAACCTTGAGCCTTGGCGAGATTCGAACCTGCAGTAATTGCAGGCAGATGGTCTTAATAACCAGCTTAATAACAGGGTGCCTTAGACCACTGTACTACCAAGGCTCTTAGCAACTGTTCAAAGTTACAATGGTCCGTCCGTTCCCCCCAACTTACAACCTGGTTCTGAAATTCAGACAACCAGTTGCCCCACTCCCTGCAGTCACGTGACCGAAATTTGAGTGCTCAGTAACCGTCTTGAATTTACAAGCGTTTGAAGTGTCTTGCATTCACATTCTCAATTATGGTTGTAAGTTGAGGCTCAATTAAGTCAAGGACTATCTGTAATTAGCAAGATTGCTCGTATACAGGTAATCCTCGACTTACAACAGTTTGTTTAGTGACCATTCGAAGTTACCATGGCACTGAAAAAAGTGACCTATGACTATTTCTCACACAATCACTGCAGCATCCCCGTTGTCACGTGATCAAAATTCAGCCGCTTGGCAACTGACTCATATTTATGACGGTTGCAGTGTCCCTGGGGTCATATGAGTGCCCTTTGCTGCCTTCTGACAAGCAAAGTCAATGGGGAAGCCAGATTCACTTAATAACCCTGTTACTAGCTTAACAATTGCACTGGTTCACTTAACAACAATGACCAGAACATTCGTAAAATGGGCCAAAATTCAATATCTGTCTCAGATAGCAACAGAAATTTGGGGCTCAATTATGATCGTATGTCGAGGACTACTTATACATAATGTCTGTGTGACAGATGCCTTTTTGACTTAACCAGATCTAGATGTATAAGCAGTTTCTCTTACAAAACAAATTTACATTCTTTTCTGTGCTGAGCCTAGCAACTTCTGTTCGGTTTGTTTATTTCCCCTTCACATTTTTCACTCTTTGCTAAGCTCCTTTTTGCCCTGTGCTCTGGTCTCTGTACCTTTTGCCCCTGACAGCTGCACTACTAAGCTGCATGTTTCCCATTCTTGGGTGGGCAGAAAAATAGACCGGGATATTTTTCACTGTCTCTTTGTTAAGTCTTGGTTTGTCTATGAAGAAACCAGAATGTGCTTCCTGCTATCACAGTTTTAATACAGGATGAAGTTAAGGAGAAGAGCCTAGAAATAACTTTGCTCTCCCACTTCCAAAGATAGAATAATTTTGAATAGTGAGGCTTACAGTCTAAAGGAAAGGTTAGGGTTAGGGAAACGAGCTCCCCCCAGAGATATGGAGGATCCCGGATTTGCACACTTTCCGCCGTGCCCTCAAAACATTCTTATTCCAGCAGGCTGGGCTGGCTTAACTTCCCTTTTAATTGCTTTTAAATTTGTTTTATAAATTGGGGTGTTTTAAATTTGTTTTGGGCCAAAGTATTTAATGTATTTTTAAATGGTTTTTTAATGTTTGTACTATGTGTATTTTATCTTTTGGCTGTTCACTGCCCTGAGTCCTTCAGGAGTAGGGCGGTATATAAATTTAATTAAATAAATAAATAAATAAAACAACAGAAACTACCATGGCTTAAAAATATCAGTGGGGACTTGGTAGATCTCAGCCCTGATTGTATCAATGAGACACTGTAATATGTGGTATTTGTACACTAAAACCTCTTAATGGGAGAAGAAGGGGGAACCCACTAACACCAAAATAGAATCAGTTTGGTGCAGTGCAGGGGTGAAATGCTCCCGGTTCAGACCGGATCACCCGATCCAGTAGCGATGGAGGCGGG